GGAGTACTCACCCCTGTCCTCTTTGTCCCCCAGCGCCCCCCGGCTGCCGCCCCGCTTCTCCGGCAGGGCGTTCTGGTCCCGGGACAGGTTGCTCAGGAGGAAGCCGGGGTCCACGCGCTTGCAGAGGCGTTTGGCCTGCTTCTTCCTGCGCGGCCGGTACTTGTAGTTGGGGTAGTCCTGCATGTGCTGCAGGCGCAGCCGCTCCGCCTCGTCCACGTAGGGCCTCTTCTGCGACAGGGTCAGCGCCTTCCACGACTTTCCTGCTCACGCAAGCCAGAAAAGGCTCCTGTTAGTATCTGCGGCCGGTGCACCGGTCTCAGATTGGTGCCTCCAAGCACGAGGCACACAGCGTCGCCCATCCCATCCGCGGACCCCCTCTCCACAGAGGACGCGAAGGCACCCTCTTCCCAGCCCAGATCCTGCGCACACAGTGGCGCCAAACCAAGCTCCCCGCCTGCGCGGGGCACCACCACTTCATGCCAACGACACACACATTCACATCACCTCCCAAATAAAAACCATCCGACAACACAAACACGGAAAGAATGTGGGACTCACAGCAAAAGGCCAGTGTCAGCCACAGGGTAACAATATAAAAGGACTACAACCCTGACTTGGGTTCTTTTAACCCTTGGAGAGCCGATTCTAAGTATTTGTGCATTTCAGTAAAGATTCTCTGCCTTCGTTGATGATTGCTGTTTCTCAGGGAGTGGTCGTGTAATGGTTACTTATGGCATAAACCTCACAGGCCTCCCCATGAGGGGGCCCAGGTAGAGTTAATAGTTTCACAGAAATAATTAAACGATAGGATCTCACTTAAGGTAACATGATTATCCCTTACATCTGAAGGTCAAATAGGACCCTGTTGTCCAACGACCCAACGTGGCCAGAATGCAAGCATCTGCCTGCAACATGCACATATGCATGCAGACACATGTACACACACACACACACACACACACACACACACACACACAAAGTGCCCGCTCCTCCCTTGACCCTGGCAGGCAGCACCTGCACAGCCCCTGACTCTATACAGAAGCAACCTTCCTCGGTCTCCGTTTTGCTCACTAGAAAATATATTGTGATACTACCCAACTCAAAACTCCCTCTTTTAAAAGCATCACACACATGGGCCCCACTGGGACTAAAATGCTGGTTTCGCTTATGCTTCCTATTCGTCCTCCCTCACTTGTACGTTGTTTTGTAAAAGGCTTTATTCAGTCTTCCTAAGTGCATGGCACATCCCTCCAGCTGCAGGTTTTCTGAAGGTCACTGCTGGACCCCGAGGCTGCTACCTCCTAGGTGAACTCAGGCTCCACAACGTTGACAAGTTCCCCCAGGACTCTGACGTTTGCTGAAGTTTCCGTCACTAGCCTGGAGGACAGGCCCTGCTCAGCCCTGGAAGGAAAGGGCACATTTCCCACGGGAGCCCTCTGCACAGGGAGGAGGAGAGCTGTGTGTATGGCCACCCTCCGTCCTCTAGTGCCTGTGCCCATGTCGGCTGGCCCTCAAAGGGGGTGAGAGGGGGAGGATTAGTAAAGGTGTTCTGCCCCTGGGATGAAAGCCTATAACTGTTCTGACCATCACTGAGTAATATCCTTAGCTGTTGCTTAAAAGGGCAACTTGAAAAGTGTTAGGAACTCTGGATTTGGAGCTGGTCCGCAGTTCCCAGCCTGGGGCTGAGGCCACAAAGTTGTTGCAAGAGGCCCAAGATCCAGACCCACCCCCCCCTCTCTCTCTCTCTCTCACACACACACACACACACACACACACACACACACGGTCTGTGGACTGAGTATATAAAATGTGACTCTAGTTTCTAAGTGCACCTGGATGTTGCAGTATTAATAAAATATAGGTTAATTGTAAATGTCACTAAATGAGCAGCTGCCTTTATGCACTTCTTCATTCATAATATACTCAAAATGCTAGTGTTCCTGGTGAAGTTTTTAATATTACAGATTGGAAAGCTTGTGGGGAAAAAAAAAAAAGCTGGGACTCTCACATCCAGTCCCTTCCTTTCCTAGGTCAGAAAGGAAAGGGCTGGGCGAGATCCCGGGGGTGGGGGGTGAAAATCGATCGATCATGCTATGGACAGATTAGAAAGACCGTATTTGAAAAAGCAGCACCAGGTTGGTTTCCCTCACCCTGTGCCAGGGGCTGTGTGGTTAAGCAGGAAGGAATCTGTGTCTTTCCTGCAAAATGGACTGTAACCTCTGAAAGCCTAAGTGCAAGTAGAGAGTGGGGATCAGCTTACAGGAGGCATTTGTCACCCAGGGCCCTTTGCCGGTCCTTTCCCTGGGAGCAGGCAACTTCAATCCTATAAGGCTCCCCAAACCAGGTTCTTCTCCCATCTCTGGCCCTGGGTCTGCAACAGAAACCGCGCTCTATCCCTGTCACAAGAGCATCTAGGAGCGTCTAGGGCTTACCAAAAAAAAATCTTTAGAGGCCCACACACGAAAAAAAAAAAAAGTGTTTTCATCTCTTTAGCAATCTGAGGGACAATATGAACTTTCAAACTGAAGAAAATGTTTTGTTGTGTATATGAATACATTTGTCTTTATGCCAACCATGTAAGAATACAATTTTAAACATTTTTTAAGGCGAAGAGGCTTACTAAAATATGGCTCCCTAACGAGTCCTGGGCAGGCTAACCAGGAGGCTGGGCGGTAGAAGGCTCTTGGTAACCACCACTCTACCAGCCGCTTTGAAAGGGCATCTAGATTGCCCGAGCGACCTTCTCTGGGTGGGCCTGTGGCTTTAACCAGCAGAAAAGTGGGTGTCAGTCCTCAGTCCATGGTTCCAACCCGGAAGAAGCCCAAAACTCCAACGGAAAAAGGAAACTGGCTTCTTTGGTTCTGGGTCTGGCCGGGTTGGGAGAGCAGGGCCAGCCTCCCACAACCATACACTGTCCCTGCTCACGGGGCCTGGGGTCTGCTCCGCTCACGAAGAGCTTCGAAAGGCTCCCACCAGTTCAAATGGATAAAAACCACAGCGAAAGGGCTGAGGGGTTAGGAGTAGGGCGGAGCTGCTCGGCTCCAGACAGGGGAGAGACTAGAAAGCCTGGCAGGAACTCTGTTTTTTCCGACCTGCCCTAACATCCTCTCTCCGGGCTCATCCCTGTCCGGGTCCCACCACCCCTGCTGGGACTGCACAGCATCAACCCCAATCCAGAGGAAGCGGCCAGGCCAGGCTGCGGGACACACAGACCCTCACCGGCGCCCGGAGTATCCGGATCAAATGAACTAAACCGCTGTGGCCGAGACAGGGAGTCTCCAATGGAGTCTGTTTGCATAGACGTTTCACTGTTGCTTTCATGATAAAGTTCAAGCAGGAAAGCGTTCCGCAAGGTCTCTCTTCACGAATATTCGTTAAGAATAGTTAGCACCTCCCTCTTTGATGGTGCCAGTGGTCAAGTTCAGGGAAAGATGCATTTCCCACTCGTATCCCTAGCGAAGGCCAGTTCCAACCCATCTCAGCGTTCCCGTCCATCCAGGCCGCTCCGCGCGTGCG